GGATGGTCTGGTTTCATTCTTCTGCATGTGGTTGTCGAGTTTTCCCAGCCCCATTTATTGAAGAGACTGTCTTTTTTTTCCCATTCGATGTTCTTTCCTGCTTTGTCGACGATTAGTTGACCGTAGAGGTGAGAGTCCATTTCTGGGGTCTCTACTCTGTTCCATTGATCTATGTGTCTGTTTTTGTGCCAATACCATACTGTCTTAACTACAGCTTTGTTATATAGCTTGAAGTCAGGCATTGTGATACCTCCAGCTTTGGTTTTCTTTTTGAACATTCCCCTGGCAATTCGGGGTCTTTTCTGTTCCATAGCAATTTTAGGATTATTTGTTCCAGCTCTGTGAAAAATGTCAATGGTATTTAGAAAGGGATTGCATTGAAAGTTTAAATTGCTCTGGGTAGCATAGACATTTTAACGATATTTATCTTTCCAATCCATGAGCATGGAATGTTTTTCCATCTCTTTGTGTCTTCCTCAATTTCTTTCATAAGTGTTCTGTAGTTTCTAGAGTATAGATCCTTTACCTGTTTGGTTAGGTTTATGCCTAGGTATATTATGGTTTTTGGAGCTCTTGTAAATGGAATTCTCATTATGGAACATTATGAATATTAAGATAAATAGCAAGACATCCAAATCTAGACCCATAATAGCGTAACTGCAGTAAACACACAAAGAAAAAGAATTCTTTTCTCCCCCCCAAGAGTAAAATCTTTAAAGCCACCAAAAACTGTGGGGAAAAGGAGCAGAGTGGGGAACAGATTATGTTCAAAGGAGAAACAGGCAAACAGCTATTTTCTAAAGAGCAATTATGAAAGACAAAGGGCAGTGGAATGACATTTTCTGTAGGATCAAAGAAAATAACTATTCACCTAGGATTCTCTATGCTGTGAAAATGTATATCAAGAGTAAGAGGAAATAAAGACATTGTTATTTATTTTTTAAAGATTTTATTTATTTGGAAGAGAGTGAGAGAGAAGGAGCGAGAGAGGGAGAACAAGTGGGTGGAGGGGCAGGGAGAGAGGGAGAAGCAGACTCCATGCTGAGCAGTGAGCCTGAAGTGGGGCTCAATCCCAGGACCCTGGGATCCTGACCTGAGCCAAAGGCAGACACTTAATCAACTGAGCCACCCAGGAGCCCAATAAAGACATTTTAAACAGAGATTCATTACCTGGCAGTTCTCACTCATGAAAATTTTAAAGAATGTACATAAACAAATGGAAGAAAAATAATCCCAAATAGAAATTCTGAGATGCAAGAGGACAGGGAAAAAAAATAAATATGTAGTTCAGTTTAAATGGACGCTGACAGTATCATATAAAAGCTATAAAAATGTCGAGTATTTTTTAAAGATACAAGAGAGAATTAAAACACAAAGCAACAATACACATTAGTTTGGAGCCATGCAAATTGAGTTAAAAGTATTCAAAACTCCTTGCATTATCATTATCCATGAACAGAGAGAAGAAAACCCTCACCAAGATATCATCATATCAAGAGTGGCAATGTATGCAACAGACGAATGAAATCACAACTAAATTCAGTTTACCTAAGAAACGCAAGGCTGGTTTCACATGAGCACATAATGTAATTCACCACATTGACAAATTTTTAAAAAATTATCTCAATATATGCAAAACAAACATCTATTATCTTTCAACATTCATGATAAAACTTAGAAAACTAGTAGTATAAGGGAACTTTGTTAATATATTTGTAACAGAAAGACCCTAGGTGACCCCATAATAAATGCCCTGTGGTGTTCTCAGCTTTTATAATCCTTTTCCCTTAAGTGTAGCCAAGATCTGTGACTTGACTCTAGCCATTAGAAAATGGCAAATGTAACGGAATTTTGCAGATACAATTGTTAATTTTGAGTTAATCAGAAGGGGATTATTCTGTGTAAGCCTGATTTAAGCAGGTGAAGCCCTTAAAAGAGGACTGAGGCCTCTCTGCAGTGAAATTCTCCTTGTTGGCCTCATGAAGCAAGCAGCCATATTGTGGAGGCTTACATGGCCAGGAACAAGGAACAGCCTTGCTATAGACTGAATATTTGTTCCCCCCACTCCCAAATTCATGTATTAGGTCTTAATGTTCAATGTAATAATATTTGGAGGTGGGGGCTTTGGGAAGTGATTAAGTCATGAAGGTGGAGCCCTCATGAATGGGATTAGTGCCCTTATAAATAAAGGATACCTGAGAGAGCTCCCGTGGCCCTGTGCCTTATGAGGAAACAGAGGAAGACCAGCATCCATGAACCAGGAAGCCGGCCCTCACTGGACACTGAATCTGCCAGTGCCTTGATTTTGGACTTCCCAGCCTCCAGAATTGTGGGAAACAATAAAATAAGACAGTTTAGCAAGATAGGTGAATCTAAGCTCAATATGCAAAGTAATTTTATTTCTATAAGCTAGCAACAAACAGGAAATGAAATTGATTTTTTAAAATAACATTTATAATGGGGTCAAAATATTAAATAACTGGGAATAAATCTAAAAAATATCTGCAGGACCTTTATAAGAAATTTTTTAAACATTGAGAGTTAATCAATTAAAATACTGTTAGGAAAACTCAGTATTATGTCTTTTCCCTATAAACTATCTATAGATTCAATGCAATTCTAATCAGAATCATTGCTTTGTAAAGCTTGACAAGTTGATTATAAAAGACCTATGGAGCCTTTCCCCCTTTATTCTTTCTATTTCCACATTTTCAGTTCAAAAGCATAGAAACAGAAACAGGGATCTGTGGTGGCCCTGAGTGAGGTGTTGGAGCCTGGATAGAATGGGGAAGGCATAAAAGTGGGAGAGCCACCCTGCACAGTGTTGGAACACCCCTGAAAGGACAACAACATAGAATGTGCTATTGCAGACTGAAGGGAAAGAACAGCCCAGCATGGGTTTTCAGAGCCTGTGGGGGCAGTCAATCATCTGCAGAAGACGTGGCCTGGCACAGGGTGTCTGAGAAAGGAGATATTTACATGTCTCAAAGTACTTCCCCCAAAATACTAATTAATTATAAAGTGGAAAGTTAACATTCCAGAGGAGAAACCTGGCAGATATTACCTCCAGGATCAATGCTAACATGACCAACAATGGGACAAATCAAAATTGTAGGTCTCATGATAGGATGCAATGAGAAGAGTAGAGGACCACTTCATACTCTTGCTAAAAATGTATGAAATGATTTTTTTAAAAAGATTTTATTTATTTATTCATGAGAGACAGAGGAGGGGGGGGAGAAGCAGGCTCCCAAGGAGCAGGGAGCCCGATGTGGGACTCGATATCAGGACCCTGGGATCATGACCTGAGCCGAAGGCAGATGCTTAACCATCTGAGCCACCCAGGCTCCCCTGATCTGAACTTTTTTAAAGTTGTTTTTTTCTTGGTGTTGTTTTTTTCTTTTTTGTAATTTGTCAGAGAGAGAGAGAAAACACAAGCAGGGGGAGCGGCAGGCAGAGGGAGAAGCAGGTTTCCCACTGAGCAGGGAGCCTGATGCAGGACTTGATCCCAGGACACCAGGATCATGACCTGAGCCGAAGGCAGTTGCTTAACCAACTGAGCCACCCAGGCGTCCCTGATCTGAATTTTATCATAAGGAGACATAAGAAAAACCCACATTGAAAGACATTCTACATTACTGGAATTAACTGTTTAAAAGATTAAAAGTTGTGAAAATTAAGGAAAGACTAAGGAACGATTCTAAACTGAAGGAACTAAGAGACACAACATCTGAATTAAATACATGGCTCTGAACAGGACCTTCCTTGCGTATAGGATATTACAGACAAGTGACAAAACTTAGAAATATGAGGATTAAATGATAGAATGTACAGGGTGCCTGGGTGGCTCAGTTGGTTAAGCGTCTGCCTTCAGCTCAGGTCATGATTCCAGGGTCCTGGGATCGAGCCCCATGTCGGGCTCTCTGCTCAGTGGGGAGCCTGCTTCTCCCTCTCCCTCTGCCTGCCGCTCTGCCTACTTGTGCTCTCACTGTCAAATAAATAAAATCTTTAAAAAAAAAATGATAGAATGTATAGTTGACATGGTTTGAATGGGTGCACTTATATGCAGATGCTTTCAATAAATACATGATAGTACTGTAAATGTATTTTCTCTTATGATTTAAATAACATTTTCTTTTCTCTAGCTTACTTTATTGGAAGAATATAATATGGAATACATATAACACACAAAACACAGTTTCATTGACTGTTCTGGTACCAGTAAGTTTTCTGGTCAACAGCAGATTATTAGTAAAGTCAAAAGTTGGGGAGTCAAAAGTTATTCACGTATTTCTGACTGCAATGGGTCAGTGCCCCTAACCCCCACATTATTCAAGGGTTAATTGTATTAGAGCTAATTGTCTGATTGTCAGGGTCATATTTTTAAGTTTTGTCACTTGTCAGGGTTGTACAGTAGTCATGTGGAATGTACTGATTTGTAGGATATAAATGCTATGGCAATCAGGCATAATCTAACAATTTACTTGCAAATGGTTCTGGGGGAAAACGTTCTTTTCTCTTTCTCTAATTTTTCTTTTCTCTAATTTTAAGACTGTCTTCAAAAAGTAAATCAAAAATAAACAGAAAAGGTGAAAAGTTTTAGGCAAATCTTATTTCACCATGAGGAAAGAGCTATGAATCAGTACTTAAAATTAAAATTATACATAGGTTTTATGGCACTATAAAAATTGTAATACATACAAACATTGACAATAGCCTTAGCAGCAATATATCAAAATGATGTCTGTGTAAATCTCCAGGTCCATATGTAGTAATATAAACTGGAAAATACTAAAAGGCTATCAATTAACACCCCTGAAGTACTAATGACAATTTGGTTGGTTGGGTGCTGTTTAAAAAGCTGGTATTTGGGCAGCTTGAAGCATGTAAAACCCAACAGTGCTGGTCTCCATGTATAAAACCTGCTTAAAAGTTAATTAGGTGCCAAGAAACATAGCTTAAAATATTATATAAACTTTCATTACACACATGATCCAGAACTATTTTCCTTTATTCAAGATTTTCACACGATATGTTTAGTAGGACACAATTAAGATGTTATACAAACATCCAGTAAATAAATTTTTAATGTTTGTCTTTCAGAACATATAATTTTTCTTCAAAATCTGTAAATATTCTTTTGAAGATTTCACTAGTAGATCGTCATTTACATGTGATTCATAAGTAGATTCTAAAGAGGAGGTCATACACCATGAGTCTGATTCAAATTCAGCAGCAGCTGAAAAGAAAAAGAATTACATTCTTTATCTAAAATACTTTGTAGTTAACTACAAGTTAGTAAAAAACAAAGTTGAAGCCTTATGAGTGTTAAAAAGAATGAAAAACATCTACATAGAACTACAATATAAAATACAAGATTACTTTTAAATATATTTTGCTCATGGTTGCCCAGTGAGTTAATTGCTATTGTGGATAAATATCAGAGCTTCTAGTTTTCTCATTACAAGATGAAATTACAAGATGATGACAGAGCCCACCCCTGAACAATCATATACTAGAAACTGAAAAATCAAACAGGCAATTTTAGAGTTGAATATACCATGACAGGTATAAAACAAGACACTATAAGAACACACAAAAGGGACATCCTAGTTTTCTATCAATACTGCCTGCTTTTTGGTGGAGGTGATATGTAAGTTGATACCTGAAGTACAAGGAAAAAGTGGGCCAGGTGGAGGGAAGACACATATACAAAGAACATATACAAAGAGTGAGGAAGAACACTTGTGGAATTGCAAGTAGTCTACGCTGAAGAGGTGCTAGAGCAAAGCAACAGAGTAGGGTAAGTAGCGACAGAGAAGGCTGAATAATCTGGCAAGAACCAAATTGACTTGGGTGTTTTTATTCCATATAAGGAACTTGGAATTTTATTCAATGGCAAAAGGTAAACCAATGACTGGAGATTTAAATATCACCTGTCAAGTGACAGCTATATGGACTATAGTTGCTTAACTATTACTAAGACAAGTCTGAGTTTTTTGGTCTTATACCACTAGCAGAAACAAGAATTTGAGAAAGCCCACATATTCAGGTTGACGGTTCCATAGGAATGGCAGAAGTGAAGGAAGATTATAGCCAGAAATAATAATAGATACATAGACATTTGGATATTTTTTAAAGTCTGAATGAACACGATGACTAAATGAGGAATAAGTAAGTTCATCATTATGTTAATGCTTTACATTTTTTATTGGCTATATATTTAAAAAAATTAATGTAGTACCTATTATCCAAACCATGGAAAGGGATGCCATTTACTATTCATAGTTTATTTCAGAAATCAATGACCATCTTAATTCATAAATTTGGCAACATACCTTCTAGTTCTCTAGTTATATTCCTTTCCATCTCCTGCTGAGATATGTCCATCTGAAATAAGTCAAATATTATTTATAATGTTCAAGTTAAACAAGAGACATTATTGTAGGAACTATATATAGCTTATGAAATGTGGTCTTTAAATAACACTTTTAGAGACTAAAACTAAGTTAGGGATTGCTGAAATAGAAAGATAATGACATAAATAAAATAAATCCCTACTTATTTTAATCTTAGGTAACTGAGAAGAAACATATGTAATGCTATTTAGATGAATCTGATAAAAAGTACAATTAATATTGGTCTATTGAATATACATACTTTCTGGAAGAAGAGGAAGATGGCGGAGGAGTAGAGGACCGTAGTTTTGTCCGGTCCCTGGAATTCAGCTGGATAGCTTTCAAATCATTCTGAAGACCTGTGAACTCAACCTGAGATCTAAGAAAAGAACTGTTGCAATTCTACAAATAGGAAAGCGACCACTTTCTACAAGGTAGGAGGTGTGGAGAAGCGAATCGGCGGTGATCCATAGGAAGATAAACCGTGGGGGGGAGGGAGCCTCCATAAGCCAGCTATCAGAAAGTGATAAAGCAGTGGTGTGCAAATCAGAACTTGTAGAAGTCTGCTCCGGTGAGGGACATCCTGCTTGAAAGGCACTCAGGTGCAGAAGCAGGGTGGAATCCTAGGTGGGACGGCCTTATCTCAGGATCCCCAGGGTCACAGAAAGAATGGGGGTGCCTGAGTATGGGAGAGTTCCCAGGCATTTGAGCAGTGAAGCCGGCTGCAATCAGAGAGCTGAGGAGGGGGCTTTCAGCTCAGTGTTGCCATAAACCACAAACTGCAGCCAGTTGGGCGACCGCTCTCAGAGCAGGGGCCATACAAGTGGCAGAACCAGGGCAAGACCTCCCTCCCTCTCCCAGGAGGAGTGGCACGAATGCATGCCACAGGAGACTGCAAAGTTTGGAAACTCCAAAGGGGGTTGCATGGCTGAGATAAAAATGTTCAGTCACAGGCTGGGTGTACACAGAATGCAGACAGAAACCAGGGAGGCGAGAGTGATTGACAGCTTCTCCATGAGGGCACACTGAGGAGTGGAGGGTGCCAGCTTTCAGCTCCCGGGCTGGACACTGGGAGGCTGACATTTTCATTCTCATCCTATAAAGTGGTGTGGAAAGCCTTCAGGGAACAAAAGCCACATAGAGCAATCCCGAGGCCCGGACTTAGCCTGGCCCCCTGGCAAGGGCAGTGCAGTACTGCTGGAGCAAAGACTCCTGAGAATCAGCACCACAGGCCTGTCCTCCAGAAAATCAGCAAGAACATCCGGCTAAGACCAAGTTTACCGATCACACAGAAATGCAAAACTCCAGCACTAGAGGAAAATACTATATAGAATTCATGGCTTTTTCTCATGATTCCTCAATCTCTCAATTGTAATTTTTGTTTTCCTTTTCAACCAATTTCTTATTTTATCAACTCGTTTTTTAAAACTTTTTCAATGTTCATTTTTATAATTACATTCTATACTTTCATTGTATTTAATTTTATTTTTGCATATACAGAAGTTTTTCTTTCTTTACAATTTTGGGGTGTAGTTTCTTCTAACAAACAGACCAAAATATACCCAGAATCTACTGTATTGCTCTGTTCTCATCACCTGTCTGATTATATTCTCTTTCGCCTTTAATTCTTATCTATTTTTTTGGTTTCAGGTCTCCTCTGATTTGTTAAGAGTAGATTTCTCTGGGGTCGTTGTTGCTATTTTAGTATTTCGTTCTCTCATTCATCTATTCTTCTCTAGACAGAATGACTAGATGGGAAAACTCACCTCAAATAAGAGAACAAGAGACAGTACTGACTGACAGGGACCTAATCAGTATGGATAAAAGTAGGATGTTGGAATTAGAGCTTGGAATAACAATTATAAAGATGCTAGCTGGGCTTGAAAAAGCACAGAAGACACTACAGAATGCCTTTCTGGAGAAATAAAAGAACTAAAAGCTTAACAAATCGAAATCAAAAGGCTATTAATGAGATGCAGTAAAAAATGGAGGCTCTACAGTATGGAGGTTCCTCAAGAAGTTAAAAATAGAGCTACCCAATGACCCAGTAATTGTACTACAAGGTCTTTACCCCAAAGATGCGAATGTAGTGATCAGAAGGCGCACCTGGACACCAATTTTTATAGCAGCAATATCCACAATAGCCAAACTGTGGAAACAGCCCAAATGTCCATCGACAGATGAATGGATAAAGAAGATGTGGTATATATACATACAATGGAATATTACTACGCCATCAAAAGGATGAAATCTTACAATTTACATTGACGTGGATGGAAATGGAGGGTATTATGCGGAGAGAAAAGTCAATCAGAGAAAGACAATTATCATATGGTTTCATACATATGTGAAATATAAGAAAAAGTGCAGAGAATCGTAGGGGAAGGGAGAGAAAACTAAAATGGGAAGAAACCAGAGAGGGAAACAAACCATGAGAGACTCTTAACTATAGGAAACAAACTGAGGTTTGCTGGAGGGGAGGTGGGTGGGGGGATGGGCATGAAGGAGGGCACGTGATGTGCAGAGCACTGGGTGTTATATACAACTGATGATTAACTGAACACTACATCTGAAACTAATGATATATCATATGTCAGCTAACTGAAGAGAAATTTCAGGAGTGCCTGGGTGGCTCAGTTGGTTAAGCGGCCGCGTTCGGCTCAGGTCATAATCCCAGGGTCTTGGGATCGAACCCATGGGCTCCTTGCTCAGCGGGGAGTCTGCTTCTCCCTCTCTGTGCTCTCTCTCTCACTATCTCTGTCTCTGTGGCAAATAAATAAATATGTTCTTTAAAATAAAATGAAATTTTAAAAAATTTATCATATACATATGGGTAATGGTGAAATGAAACATTATTTTTTTAAAGATTTTATTTATTTATTTGACAGAGAGACCAGCGAGAGAGGGGACACAAGCAGGGGGAGGGGCAGAGGGAGAAGCAGGCGCCCGCAGAGCAGGGAGCCCAATGCGGGGCTCGATCCCAGGACCCTGGGATCATGACCTGAGCCGAAGGCAGATGCGTAATGACTGAGGCACCCAGGCGCCCCAATAAAACATTATTTACTTATCTTTTCCAGACGGACTGAGCTATACTTAATAAAAATTATGTATTTAAAATAAAAAAAAAAATTGGAGGCTCTGCTATGATAAATGAGGCAGAAAGGAGAAGTAGTGATGCAGAAGACAAAATAAAATGATGGAGTATAGGGGCACCTGGGTGGCTCAGTCGTTAAGTGTCTGCTTTTGGCTCAGGTCATGATCCCATGGTCCTGGGATCGAGCCCCGCGTCGGGCTCTCTGTACAGCGGAAAGCCTGCTTCTTCCTCTCCCATGCCCCCTGCTTGTGTTCCCTCTCTTGCAGTGTCTCTCTCTGTCAAATAAATAAATAAAATCTTTTTAAAAAATTTAAAAAAATTTAAAAAATGATGGAGAATAAAGAAACTGAGAAAAAAAGAGAGATAAACAACTACTGGATCATGAGGTGAGAATTCAGGAGATAAGTGATACCATAAAGTGGAACAATAGTAGAATAATTGGGATCCCAGAAGAAGAGGAAAGGGGGGGGTGGCAGAAGGTATATTTGAGAAATTATAGCAGAGAACCTCCCTAATCTGGGGAAGGAAACAGGCATTCAAATCCAGGAGGCACAGAAACCCCAACCCCCTTCAACATCAATAAAAACAGGTCCACACCTCAACATAGAGTAGTGAAGCCTGCAAATTTCAGAGACAAAGAGAAAATCCTGAAAGCAGCTCAGCACAAGAGGTCCTTAACCGACAAGGGTAGAAACATTAGACTGGCAGCAGACCTAACCACAGAGACCTGGCAGGCCAGAAAGGACTGGCATGATATATTCAGGGTGCTAAACGAGAAAAATATGCAGCCAAGAGTACTGTATTTATCCAGCAAGGCTGTCATTCAAGCTTGAAGGAGAGAGAAAGAGTTTCCAGGACAAACAGAAACTAAAACATTTGTGATCACTAACCCAGCCCTGCAAGAAATATTAAAGGGGATCCTTTACGCAGAGAGAGCCCCAAAGTAACACAGACCAGAAAGGAACAGCGACAATGTACAGAAACAGTGACGTTACAGATAGTACAATGGCACTAAATTCGTATCTTTCAATAGTTACCCTGAATGTAAATGGGCCAAATGCCCCAATCAAAAGATGCAGGGTATCAGATTGGATAAAAAAGCAAGACCCATCGATATGCTGTCTGCAAGAGACTCATTTTAGACCCAAGGACACCTCCAGATTGAAAGTGAGGGAGTGGAAAACCATTTATCATGCTAATGGACATCAAAAGAAAGCTGGGGTAGCAATCCTTGTACCAGACAAATTAGATTTTAGACCAAAGACTGTAATAAGAGATGAGGAAGGACACTATCATAATGACTTAAAGGGGTCTATCCAACAAGAAGATCTAACAATTGTAAATATGTGTGCCCCTAACATGGGAGCAGCCAATGACATAAACCAATTAATAATAAAATTAAAGAAACACATTGATGATGATACAATAATAACAGTGAATGACACACTGGACTGTGGGAAACAGACCTCCACAACAACCACTGGTGCATGTTCGTTCAGACTCCGAGATCTCTGAGAAAACTCGATTTGCTGGGTTAAAAATAAGCCGAAAGGATCAGAGTGAATTGCCCTTGGGACGTGTGTGGTCTGTTCTAAAGTACGCAGCAGAAGATGTTTTGTAGATAGGAAGCCACCTGTAAACAGCACACTGTGCACTCCCCTCTTGGTTCCCTTGCCCTGTAAATAGCACACTGTGCACTCCCCTCTTTGTTCCCTTGTCCTGCTTTAAAGATTCTTATCATACACGCGGGACTAATCCTATGTACATGGAAGAATGTGCCTTACTAAGCCCATGCTGTAAATCATTAGAGATCTATAGCGCTGTAGAAGGTATATAAGATTATGGAAAATAAACCTCGGGACCTTGGGCTGATTGCTCGGGGTCCCCTGTGCCTCGCA